GGTTATTTCTGTCCATGATTGGATAGAAAAAAAAAACGAACTACAAATACTCCAAGATTTTTTTGACTTCATTAAAAAAATAAAATCGTTTTTGTCGGATGGAAACTTTTTGAGGTCAAAACCCCCCACCCCCAAACTAAAGGAAATAAGTTTTTTATCCGACATCGATCTTTTGACGTCGTCCCTAACTCATTGTCTGGTAAACAGTTAGATTCGAGTGATTAGAGTCGAATGGCAGTTAAAATCATTCATTGTCAAAATTACAGGCACTTATATAAACATGAAATGTGAGATTCAATCTTGCCACTCTGCAAATACGCCTCACGACTGTTAGCAAATATTTTGTGAGCGTAAATACCAATTTTCAGCAAAACTTGTTATATGAGTCGTAGGCGAATGTACCGGCGACTGACAAACTATGCCGACCCTACTTTAGGTCATTTTTTATTATTATCCAAGAAACGTTCCCAGCGTCTGTGAGTACCACATCAACCAACAACCATCACGACCTTGTCTCTTTCTCTTTATATATGGTTTTATCTGTCTTTTACCTTCATGGTTATATATGTTTAGAGATTAAAGAGATGGTTAGTCACAAAATAAGGCCAGATTTTTTTTATTCCTTGTTTCTCGAGTTTTTATAAGGCAATTTTTTTGAGGAGGGTGTAAAAAAAAAAAATTAATTCTTTTTTTCCATTAGATTTGTGTGATTCTCAAAGAATTGTAAGTGCGATCATTGATCGGAGAAAAGAAATGAAATCAAATTTTATTCCATGTATAACCTTGTTTCTCATCTGCGCGAGACTTCGGTACTTTGATCATGATACTTCTACAAAAATGGAATTTGGGTTTGTTACGCGACGGGCGTAAAAAAAAATGAAGATAAAAATAAGTTTTATTAGCAATTTTTTTCACTTACAATTTGGTGGGCGCGAGAAATTACGCTGAAATAAAATTTAATTTTTATTTCATTTTCGGCTCCTATTGATTCGGCGGGTTTGCGAAACAAGGGATAATATAAGTCTGGCCTAATATATATTCTAAAAAAATGGTGACAATGAATACAGATATTATAAATTGAATTATGCTAAAAATGTTGATGACATGAACGCAGGAGTTTAACCTGTTTGTGTTTGTCACTTTGAATTCGGAGAACTACCGATGACAGGATGATTTATTCTGTTTTCATATTAAAGTAAATCACGCCAGGTATGTCAACCATTTTCTTGTCAAAAAAACAAATTTGTAATATAATTCAACTGAACGTGGACCAGACTTAGATCCTGTACTCGGATGAAAAAACATTTTCATATACACATATACTTGTATACCATTGCTTGAAATTATGAATCTAAACACTCAAAAATACTGTCAACAAATCCCATATTCTTAACCTATAAAACGTGCCGAAACGTGTGTGTGAATCGTTAGAACCGAGTCGACACGTGCCAAAGAAAATCGATCTCTGTCCCGATTAGCCTAACATGTAGGCGTGAGTTAGGGTGAAAACAAAGACCGAAAACTATCAGAAAATGGTACTTTGGAATAGTTGTTCAGACTCCCCTGAATAGTGTAAAAAAAATACTCCTGCATGTGCAACATATATAGACTTGCGTATGTCTCTTGTTTATTTTGTGTGTTTTTTCAATAAAATAAAATATTATGGGGGTTACCGGGCCGGGTTACCGCGAAATAAAGTTTGTATCGCTGTAACCCGATTTTCCTCATTTATACCATAGACCTTGCTACTGTTATAATCCTCTAACCCAATTAACACCTTAGTGAAACTGACAATAAATCTATGTCAACACCACTGTTACATCCTCTCCTGTTACATAAGCCAAACATGGCTGCCGGGGAGTAGCTACACAAAATGAGCCAACTTTGTGGTTAAAATATAATCAGAAAAATTACATTTGATTAAAACTGAATAGCCAAGTCCATTCTATTGATACGAGTGAAACTAAAAATTGCAAAGTTAACAGTTTTTATTCCACTATGAAAACAGGAAAGGGCAATAATAACGGTAAGTTTTTTCTATAAGAAAACAAAACTGCCTAAACGTAAACAATGACCTGTCAAAATTTGTGTCATTATAACATTATAACTTATCAAACATATAAAAAAGCGTAGAAAGGTAAGAACTAAAACTGTTTCAGATGTATAGGTATATGTATTAATGGGATTATCTATACAGGAGATTATAACCCACGTTGCAAACAGGAAACTCGACTTTCCTTTGTCTCAGACAGAAGTTGCCTGTCCCTGTTTTCTAAGGTCTATGTTTATACACTACCATATTTTATTTTATTGAAAAAAAAACACACCAACAATAAACAGCAGACTGCATGCAAGTCTACCCCATGACGTGAACGATTCGGTGTTTTACTTCCTTGAACGTATTCATATTTGTTTGTCATTTAACACGTTGGTTTTATTTGCTTTTATCATAAACCTCTGATGAAGCCACATAAATTGTTGATTTCATACCGACATCTCCCGGGTTTTCGCGACCACGCACCGACTTTTGTATGAGCCGCAATGTCCAAAGTCCATATATCTAGCTTTCAGTAATTGAGACCTGATGTTTTCATACTCAAATTTTCATTATAACCGGCGGCAAGTTAGTACTTGGCACTACGATATTTCGAAAAGTGGCACAGTGATTATGTTACTATGTTAACATTTTTACTTGAGCCAGGCAGTCCCAGGACTGACATACAGTGGATCGTGTCTACGCTGGAAGGCTCGCGCGGTAGACGTTTATTCGTGGGAAATCACTATCAGGGGGAAATCTCGTCTCGTCTCTCTATCTCGTCCCCTTGAGGTACGGGATCGGGAATGTCACTTTAACTATACAGTCAAATAAGACACACACAACGAAATACGTTTCAGCTCTCGTCTTAGTCGATCTTTTGGAGCACTCTATAAGACACAGCGCCCTGGGGAAAAGTCCCCAAGACTCTCACAAGGCTGAACCAAGACTCGCCCAAGACTGGACTCTCTCAAGGCTCGCCCCTGGACTCTCTCGGACTGCGTCTGTCGTGGAGTATTCGCCAAGACCAACTCAAACTCTCTTTATTCATTTTCAAAACTCTGACCAATTACAATGCAGTAAAAAGACTCTCGGACGTAACCTTCAATCATAAAGCCAATCACACTAAGTACTGAATACGTCATATCTTTTGATTAATCGTTCACTACATTAATAACTACGGATGTCAGAATAGCGACGGATATCTCGTAATTAG